GAAAATATTTTAATTTAAAATACTATTATTAACGTTATAATTTCAAAATCAGGACAACAAAACCAAACCGTGTCCTATACTTGTTTTACACACGTTCCACGGACAAATCTCGTTCACTTGGTACTTAGTAGGCAATCATAATATCAATATTATAAACACGACAATTGATCGGGCGTTTACCACATTGGAGGGGTTTTTTGCTTTTTTGCAACAGTGTAAAATGTACTGGACAAAATACATAATATTATAAAATATACATAGTGGTACATTGACCAAAATACGACGTCGACGACTCGTCGGTTGTTAATATTATTATTGTTTGATCAAACGATTGGTGTCGGTGGTGGCGGGGGCGGAGAAAGTTTATAAGACTTGTACGTATTTAAGTCACCAGTCAATACAGCTGTCGTCTATATAATATGTACATATTATATTGTGAAGTAAGTAGGCATCTATATACAGCAGCATTGGGATGAATGGAACTGGAACTTTCACGGGTGCCCCGAGTTCGCTACACATGACGAACAATTATTATTATTATTACTACCATTATTAATGTTATTATTATTTTTATTATTATTATTATTATTATTATTACTATAGTTATTATATTGGTATATGAGACCACCAATAAGGCCGATATAAACGACAGCGCAATTCATAGAAGCGATGGCCATAATTATTAAATCACGCAGTGGCGTTCTAGTTCATAATATTACAAACAATATGCGAGTGAGACGAAATGGAAATGGAAATGTATTTTAGGTATACGGAAACGTGACAGTAGCGATGTCGGTGTATAAAATATATTATGTGAACATGTTCGGTTGACCCAAAGACTATGGAGGTAAACCGATTGTCCGTCACAATTGTTGTTGTTTTGTCAAGCGCTAACCAGAGACCTACTGATCGGATTTCTCGACTGCAGACATTGTTTATATTGATTAAAGCACATCACGATATTATTATTGAAACATTCATAATTTGATTTATATCATTTAATTTTCTATCAAACTACGTGTTCCTATTCCAAGTCGGTTAAATACATTTAATGTACCTACTAATATTATTGTAGGCAAAAATACTGAGTTTGTCTCGAAATATGTCTCGAAACATGCAGTTGCTCCAACTTTTTGCGTTAATTAACTACGAAATATAATTTGTGATTCAGTCATGATTACATTTCTCCGTGTATACCCTTTCTCTTTCTGATAATTATCAGCTATCTTTGAAGTCTAAACTGTCACGGTTTAGTTTGAACTTTGAATAGGTACCTACCTTGAATAACTTTTAATCTATTACGTTTTTACTTTTTTTTTGTAATTACCTACCCGGTATTCGTTTAATGTTCAGTAATTATTTATTTTTATTAATTAATCAATGAAAATGTATATACATATTAGGTACATTTATATTTTTTTTACAAAAACAATCATCGGATCTATATTAAAAAAGGTGGGTAAGTGGATGTCGCTCTGCTGTACAGTAGGTTACAAGTGGGTCACTGTATAATTGATGCTATTAAATTTGAATTCAATGATACAATATCATTGTATAAGAAAAACGATTCTGAGCGAAGACGGTATGTCAGTCTAGGTTAAGACAAATTATATACATATCTATGGTATTAAAAAAAATTGACCTATAATAAATTCCAAATTAATCATATCACATTATCACAATATCCATTAGGTACTAATAACACGTTATACACCAACAACAAACCCTGATACTATCATATATATATAATAGTACACTTTAGAAGTTTCAAGTAGGTACCAACGAATAATATTATATAATCACAACAAAATAACTAGGTTTTTAATATGTAATTTCGTCAAAATTTGAACATAAAATGACTATAAAAATAAACTGTGATTGTATATTTTTTAGATTTTTCGGTAAGAGAATTAACTACTTACGTGGAATCTTGTTTTAAATTTTCAATCCTTAGCTATAAAAACTGAACATTTTATAATTTATTAATTACGATGATTAATAATTTTCGAGATTTTGAAAAATTCTGTCAAAATTCGATGTTAAAATGCTTATAAAAAAAAATTGTGCCTATGTATTTTTAATATTTTTCAACTGATATTGTAACAATATATCAGGAGCCTTGTATTAAATTTTTACACTTTTTGGCCCAACAGATAAAACTTAATTAATATTTATAGAAAAAAAAACTAAAAAAATTGAAAACTGAAAATGTCCGTAAACGGCTCAAAAAGAGTCAAAATATTTTCAAAATTGTATGGTGTATAGGAAATGCTAATATAAACATTCAGTGAAATTTTCATGTATCTACAGTAATTCATTTTTTAATTACAACAAAAAAAGGAAATTGCCACATGAGAAATCGAGTGAATATCCAATGTTGTAAAAATTTGAATTTCAAACGCTCATAAAAATTTAATTTGACTTTCCGGTAGAGATTTTTTTATTGATAAAGGTAGACAATCTTATGAGTAATCTTGTATTAGATTTTCAAATCTTAGATTTAAAAAGAAAAATTTTTACGAATTCTTAACTCAAAATAATTTGCTAATTTTCGTGATTTTTCCATATTTTGTCAATTTTTGAACTTTAAATGCTTATAAAAAAAAATTGTGACTAAGGATTTTTAATATTTTTCATCTGCCCTTGAAACAATATATTAGGAGCCTTCTATTAAATTTTCAAGCTTTCGCAACCAACAAATAAAATTTTATTGATATTTCTAGAAAAAAAACTAAAAAAAAACTAAAAATGAAAATGTCCCTAAACTGTTCAAAATAAATCAAAATATTTTGAAAATGTTATCGTGTATAGAAGATGCAAATATAAACAACCAGTGAAAATTGCATGTACCTACGGTCATTTGTTTTAAAGTTACACCAAAAACCAAATTCAATTTTCTGAAAAATCGATTTTGCGTAAAAATTCCCGTTTTTCCTTAATTTTTCTTTTGTTTTTCCCGGCGCTCTTGAAAACTACTGGGAAATTTAAATTTTGACCTCCCCAATGCACCAACGATATTCACTTTCCAATCGAACAAGATACTGAAGTCGAAAATCGAAGCATTATTTCGACTACTTATCGTGTACACAGACACAAAAAAAATAAATATAAAAATAAAAAATAAAATAAAAAAATAAAAAAAAAAACACACATCATTGTAAAATCAATACATTCATCGTTTCACTCAGAATCTAAAAAATGGTTTTAATTTGCATTGTACCTATACATATTATCGACGCTGAACTTACGCATGAATTATATTTTATTTTTTTTTATGTTTATTGAGTTTATGTGATTCCTTTAAGTAAACACTTTCGAATAGCATATATTTAGGTAATGCGATAGCAATATATCTATAATATATATAACTTATATATCAAGTTCAAAGTTCGGTGAGTATTTGACATTTTATTAGGAATAAAAGTCATTATACTTAATAGTCAATAACATATTATAAAAGTGAACTAAAGCTTTTTATAATATTGCTTACGGTTTTTTGAAACAAGTTAAAAGTTATTTAACTTATTTTAAAATAAACAGAAATGTTCAAAAAAACAAAAAAAATGTACACGAAACGGTAGAAATCAAAGTAAATGACTGTTCTATCAAAAAGTTATTATTTTTTCTCTATAAAAACATCAACGTCAGTCAAGATGAACATTTTTAGATTAATATAGCTAAGCACTTTTTACCCATTATCAAAAAATATAAATCTTTAGGAAATATGATTTTTTATTCACTAAAATGGTTCTGAAAGCAACAGATATCAACTACTTATATTAAGTCTTACATCAAATACAATGTTCAATTATTTATCTATCGTGCTTATAAGAATTTTCATCAACCAAAGAAATTAACTTTACAGTTTATTCGTCCTTTTTACATTTTTCACGTTTAATATTTAATTTGAAGTGTCATTTAAACAATATTAGTGATCAATTTACGGAAATTCTTCCAACAAATTAAATAGGTTTTCATAATTATGGGTTTTCGGTTCGAATTATAGGTACTATAAGAATATTATTTAAAAAGGCACTCAACATCTCAGACACAATTAATTTTTTTATAAAGAGCGAGTGGTAATTTAATAACTATGATGACATATCTTGTTTCAATTTTTTATCTTAACTAACAATGTCGCGTTCTAAGTAGTGAAACTGGAGGGGTTTAATGATTAAATTCGTTGGTGATATAACTGTATAAGATTAAAAACGTTTCGAGCGGAATTTTTTGTGGCTATAAACCATATTAATAGTATTCTGCGTAGTATACATAGAACGAAAACGCGTAATAGCAAAAAAATTAGAAAATATAATGTCCATGTGAAAAATAAAATAATTTCCTGTTATATTTGTAGATTTTAATCCATAAGTTTTTTCCTATTACAGATTAAATTAGGTATTTAAGTGCAAATAGCTGAAGTTGCTCTTTAATGACACGATTGAATATGTTGCAAAATTCGGATTATGTAACTGGAGGTGGTGACATTGTATTAGTGTGTATTAAGACAATTTATTCGACTTGGTCGGACAATGATTAGCATTTTTAAAACAAAGGTTGGTGTATAGAATTATTATCGTGACCGTCGTCGTATCAAATCGTAGAAACAAAACCGCACCAGTTCTGTTTCGTGAATCGGCCCGTCTGGATTGATAAATCTTCGGTGCGTGGACAAAAGGGGTCAAGTCAGTCAAATTTTTGACATTTTTAGTTTTAATAACCTCTAAAAAATCACGATATTTTCTCTGAAAAATACATTTTGTTAGACAGGAAATGTTAAATGACGTTTCGTTTTTACCGATGAAAAATAAAAGCGATATTTTTTTTAATCTGCTGAATATACATTATTTAAACGTCAAAAACTGACTCGATTCACTTCCAACGCTCGCCCAAGAGTTGATATGTCGACTATAGAAAGGAGAAGACAATAGGAAAAAGCCACCCACCCACCTACCCTCCCCCCTCCCTCCATCATAACAACAACAATATTATTATTGACGATGACCGGCTACGACAACGATGGCGGCGACCACGGCGACCGCGAAGACCGCAAAGACGCGTATAAACCCCGGGCGACACTCACTTCGTGCGGTGCGCGACATTTCGGTGAGCAGCGTTTTGAACGATTCTCTGCCGTCGGTATCGTAAAAGCTCTTGTAGATGGGCTTCATCCCCAGAGCAATGTACACGGCAGACAGCGTGAAAAAGCACTTGGAGTTGCCCACATGCAGAGATTTGATACCGTGGTTGTAGTACAGCATACCGACCACGTTCCAGCCGAACCTGTGCAGTATGTGCAGGAAGGCTTCGCCGACCAGCTTGTACGAGCCCATCATCCTGGTCAGAGTCGGGTACTCTTCCCGGTCGTCGAAGTTCTTGACCAGCCCGCCAGCGGTCAGCACCGGTATCTTCCACACGCCCGCGTACCTCGCCACGGGCGCAATCACGTAGTCGCACACCGGTCCCAGGAACAGATCTGAAACCAGGATAAGCCGAGATTGCGGTTAGATTGGGTTATTTGAGGTGTAGACTGTAGGTATATATTATACACTGTCCAGCGAGAGAACGCGCCGATTCTGCGCATCCCCCCGCGTCACCTTGCTATCAAAACCGGCTCCCCTTTGGCAGGGTGTTGCGCGGGGGAACAAGTTTTGGTCGGTGCATTCTCTCGCTGGATAGACTATAGTATGGGTACTATGTAATACAGTCAACTCGCGATATAACGAATTTCAAGGGACCGAGAAAAAAATTCGTTATATCGAAAGTTCGTTACATCGAAATTATATTATACCGCGATATTTTCAAGGGACCGGTAGTTTTATTCGTTAGATCAAGATTTTCGTTATATCGCGAGTTGACTGTATTATCATATCGTTACATGTTACGCGTGTTCCAATGCACGTGCGTGCACAGCCGGTTAACCGGCGGCAGTTAGGTTTACCTATACCTACCAATACTTATTATTATTTTTATAGTTACTATAGCTATAAATTATAAAAAATTATGATCTAGTGTCGGATTGAGGCTAATACGATATGTATTCACACTAAACTGCTTCGATAGAACCTTTGATAACCACTTTTCAAAAAAGGATATCAAAATATGTGTTCAAATGTTGAGTTATGAAGTCCAATAAAATCGATATGTATTACCTACACAAATAATTGTACGCATTAAAATGTTGATAATGAAATTTGCACTTATATTATTAGTCATCGAGCTAAAATTAAATATTTATTTTTAATTAAAATCTAAAATAATTATAGCGTTTACCTATTTATCTAATAAATTATCATAAAAGAGGTTGATTATTAATATTACTCAGAACCCTAAATCTATTGCAAAACACATAATTATATGTTTTTATTTAATTTTGTACTTAATCTGGGTTCGATGACATATTATTTAATCGTAGTGGTATACATAAAAGCTACAATATTAAGGGAATGAGTTTTTTTTTACAAAATTGACTTTATTGCCAATGCGTGACATTGTCTTTGAAACGACGCGATTTCAGTAACATTACGACGGTTAAACTAAAAAAATTATACCCACTAAACAAAGTTATGCGTTCATAAGAAAGTAAGAAAGCGCGTAAATGTAATTTTGCTTTCGAATGCCCACTTATACGTTTAGAAAGAGTGAATCAATGCCTTTTAGTAGAACGCCCACTTTACCCTATACAATATACATAATACATATTATATACTGTTATATGTTGTAATTGTATCGACCGCACACGGTTTAAACAAGTTAACGTTGGCACGGTAATTTCAGTCATATTTTTTGAACGATTTTTGATATGATGATCACTAAAATACTTGAATATGCATCCAGAAAACAAATATATAATTCCATCAACTAAGCTGAACTCCGCCAACTAATTTAATAAACATTAACTACCTATACCTAAGTAAATGGAATGTACGAATATAAATAGACAAACGTAAAGTAGTGTATGTGAAATGTATTATGTTAATATAATAATATACTAGTGGAAAACAACCATGCAGTCGATGCCTTAAGCAATAACAATAATACAATAAAATATAGTGACCCCACGGATTTGCTGTAAGTCGAGCAAACATTCCATCTGCGTACAATAAACTTGCAGTATTTTTAATATAACATCCCAATAATAAATTAGATATTTATGTGATAACCAACTGTAATTGATTAATTATGAGATAGGTACTTTCAGAGTTAGCACTATATACAATATTTTCAAAATCATTGACAAAAAGAACTCTATAAATAGTTACCTAGCATAAGTAATTAAAAGTTAAAAAAAAAAATTCACAGAATTATTGATGCTAAAAAAAATAATTATTAAACAATCGATTTGAGAGTACGGATAATATGTTTTGAAAACCACAATACTCATGTAACTACTAAAAATAAAAATATGCCGCATGATGAAAAAAAAATATCATAAAAACAAAACAGAAACCAAAAAAAGGAATAAAAATGAATCAATCAATTAAGTATTAAAACATAGTTTTGAATTCGCATTTAATGAAATTGAAAATTAAGAATATATTATAGAACTTAATTTAGCACTATGATGAGGTTAATTAGTCGCCTTCGTGTAGGTACACTCCAATGAAAAGCATTAGGTATGGAATACCTAATTATTGTATGTTCTCTACTTTTGAATAATATTTTTAAAAATATACATTAAACTTTTAACATTACCATGACTACTGGACTACCTGTTACTTACACAAATTAAACTAGTAATTTGTACCCTGAAATGCATAACAAATAATGTTGCCACTTAATTAGAATCCGTCTGTATTCAACGCTCACTGTCAAGCCAATAGTTTACATCAAACAAAGTGTTGAGTAGGTACTTCGTTTCGACGCGTATATGGTTCGGTTAAAATATATATACGATTGTTTTATATATTATAGTTTCCCTTTTTTCTAGATTTATTTTACATTTAACATATTCATTTATCTGTAAATCTACTATTTAGTTATATTATATACAAACATATTTAAAAATTACTTTAGTGTTTAAATAGGTACTTAAATAAACCTAAACACTATAATAGTGAACTTATTAAACAAAACAAAAAAATATTATAATTTTCCAGCCCATAAGCACACAAAATATCTGAAACTTTTAAATTATTGAGGACAGCTAAATTGCCATGGTACTTGATATCATTCCTTTGCAAGGAAAATTGAGGAATCATAGATATTATGTTTTTATTGTTGATTTGAGTTTCCATGGTGATAATAAGCATCGGTTACGCGAAATTGGTTACCGTCAGAATAAACAAGTTGATATACACAAGCCGAAAAACATATCAATGCTAAAAATTAAAATTTATGTGGGAAGAAATGAAGAATAAATAACAAATAATAGTGTATTATGTTCTATTATTGTGACAGATGCTTAAACTCTATTCAATATTAAGGACATAGTAATAGAAAATTAACATTTAATTGTTTGAAATAAAAATATTTTAATTATAATTATAATTAATTATTAAAAACAAAGTTAATTTATAATGTATAAAAATATATACATGAAATACGCGGGTACACTTTATCAATAAATAAAAACTGTGAAAACATAAATTATTGTCTGTTAACAAATAGCAAAGGTTTTAAATTATGCATGTTATACGATTTGACTTAGATATTAAAATAACCTCAGTAAAAATCTATTTAAATTAATCAACAAAGGTTTTATTATTTTGAAAGAAGCCAGGATACCTAATCACATATAGTGCATACTCAGTTCTTATATTATAATACTATAGTATCTAAAAAAGAGTGTTTTCATATGCAAATTCAATATATTTTGAAAAATATATTGAACAATATTATTACTTATATAGTGCAAGTTATAAAATTATATTATAAGAGTAAAAACATAAATATTTAATATTTATATGTATATTGAATTATTCTATCAAATTCAGTTGACAGACAAATAAAACTTGAAAACGTTCACTCTTATAGTAAACATTATTTTCTATATGACTTCCCAATCATAAGTAATAGCTACTGACATTAAGTGTCAAATTCTATGTCAACCGCATAATAAGTTACAGACGAAATATTTATAACTATTGTTTGAATCCATTAAATTAATGGACTATTTGCACAAAAATATGATTAAAAAAATAAAAATATATAGGTACAGTAAAGCATAAAATTTTTTTTATGGACCTAGGTTATTTTCAGTTTGGCTTCAGCTTTAGGCTTATATTGTCTTAAATACATGTCAACAGACGTGTTATTTTTAGGTATCTATTCTGTCTATCTATTCATCCGGTGTATTTAACAAAACAATCTTCAAACACTCAAGAAATCCTATATTTACTGACGTTATAGTTGCAGCTTTAAAAACGTATTTAAAAATTACTCTAATTAAAAAAACCAATTATAATACCCTATATATTTTCACATAATAAACTTTACTTATGTTATGATAATACTCTTTTATTAATAAATTGTTTGAAAATTAAATGACTATCATTGAAAACAATTAAGTATAAAAATAAAACCAATAAGAACATTAAATAAAAAAATTTAAAAATTTTTTTAAAAACGTGCTTTTCTTAATACTACTTAATAAATGAACGAAAAAGTTGAAAATAAACTTACTTTTAAAACAATTACTTAATGAAACTTCAAGGTTATCAAGATATTACTAGAAGTGTTTCTAAAATGTATTTGTTGCAAAATTTTTAAAAATTGTGAATTACAAAAAAACGAAAAGCATGGGGCACTTATGATAACTCCTATGTAAAGTCACTCTACAACTGAATCATTAGATAAACTTTATGATAAATATTTTAAAGATTATTGATCATACTTAAAATTTTGTAAGAGAAATTCTTGACTCATAGGAGCCCCATGCATTTCGTTTTTTGTAATTCACAAGTTTTAAAAATTTTGCAACTAATACATTTTAGAAACACTTCTAGTAATATCTTGATAACCTTGAAGTTTCATTAAGAAATTGTTTTAAAAGTAAGTTTATTTTCAACTTTTTCGTTCATTTATTAAGTAGTATTAAAAAAAGCATGTTTTTAAAAAAAAAATTTTTATTTTTTTTATTATCTACTTTTAGTGATAACAATAAATTAGAAACAAAGGATTTTATTTTTTTTTTTTTTTTTTTTCGACAACTGGGTCATGTATTGTCACCGATCCTAGACCACCATACAAAATTTGAGGCTCCTAGGTCATGAAGAACTGTAGAAGTGACTTAAATTGAACTCGCAAGATTTGATGACAACAGAAATGAATGAATGAAACATTGCGAGTTAAAGAAAAGCATGTAAAAACCAAATTACAGCACATTTCAGTTCTTACAACGATAATTTCAATTTGGCTCATAATTCAACTGTTCAAACAAGACAAACAAGTTTTTGGTGTGAATTTGGTGTACATTTTCTAACCTAAGTAAACACACAAGTTCATAAAGTTTTTGGTAAAATCGTAAATGAAATTATTG